CTAACCCTAACCCTAACCCTAACCCTAACCCTAACCCTAACCCTAACCCTAACCCTAAACCCTAAACCCAAAGACATCTGTGCGCAAACCCTTTGGAGATGAGATAGGCATGGTCGTGGTTTCCTGCTTTCTCTTATGTCAAACCTCATACCGAATATGATGATTGCTAAGATTGAATTTCGCGCTGTGATATCCGTCATTGTACGGGGTAGTGTCTGCCTTGAGTTCAAGCATCTTTGCCTTTCAGAGCAGTCACCTTGATACTTCGACCTTTGATAGCGATGCACATGGAAAATCTGGCAAGATAGGCGCACGATCGACGAGCTCCATGCTTCTTCGAGAGCTGCTGTGCAATAGCTGCGGGTGTGATCTCCTCACCTGCCGAAGCCGTGAACATCTTGGAGAATTCGGGTTGTTGAGGTTGAGTCTTTGTGCAGCTTTCTGAATCGACTTCAGATATGCGGATTGACCTAAAAGGGTTGCTGCATGATCTGCAGATCGTTGGCGTTTCCCGGAGCACGTACCGGCGTGTGCGCGAAGCTTTTCCTCGTCGAACTTGACCACACAGTGTCATTTCAAAACAGAATCGTCGGAAAACAATTCGAAATCATGTCGCTCACGAATAAACGGCCTGATGAGATTGGTAGGTCGTGAGAGTCTACATCCCCCTACAGTGAAGAGTCACACATTACCGTGAACCGGATCCCTCTGACTGGCAGATGTATCATCACAATCTCTGGCGACGCCGTCGTCATCAGATCTATGCAAGGTCCGAGCACCTAATGATGAGGACCCACACTGATCAACAAAGTATGTCCTTGCAGGGTCTACAAAGCTCTGTAGATCGTTCATACCTCTTTTCGGCCATTGCATTCAAATATCGAGGTCGCGAGAAAGCATCTGGAACGACGTGATGTCACTTGAACAGACCCTCGATGGTGGGATGTTGAGAAAATCGGGAAGTGACTTGTGAGGGGGATATGGAGTATCTTGCTTACAAGCTCTGCTTAAACCACTCGCTCCGCCATCGATTCCAGTAACATCCGACCTGAACCTCCCCTTCATCCAACATTCCCTAAGTGGCTTCTCACCATGTCCATTGGAAAGAGACTCGTACCTCACGTCATCGATGAATTAGCTAGATGCCAACCGGACGCCATATGGGCCGCTTATCCCTCATCTATGCAAGCCCTGGCGCAGGGGGACCTGACAAAAATAACTTGGAAAGCCTTTTCGAATGCCATCAATCGATTAGCATGGTGGCTGGCGGAACGACTGGATAGTAGCGAGGTTCTGGAGACTTTGTGTTATGTCGGCCCTTCGGATATCCGTTATTTCTTGTTTGTTGTTGCGGCTTGCAAGGCTGGCTTCAAGGTTAGCATGGCGATCAACGGACTTGAATGGAATTCAAGCTAACAAGTCACCAAGACACTATTCTCCTCACCTCGCAATCAGATCGCTGCCCACGTCTCGCTCATAAAAAAAACACAATGTCGCACTCTCATAGGTGTGAAGAACTCTGTCGTCAGCGGCATTCTCGAGAATACATCTGTCAGGTTTCTGGATGTCCCGGCTCTCGAAGACCTTCTTGATGCGACTGAGGTTCGACCGTTTTCATACAACAAGAGCTATGATGAGGTAGCTCGACAACCTTTCCTTGTTCTACACACTTCGGGGTCGACTGGACTACCCAAACCGGTCACGGTGACACATGCTTCCATGGGCGCCAGAGATGCTCAACAGCTGTTACCGCCCGTTAACGGCAGACACATCACTACGCGATGCTACTCTGGCATCAGTATGTATACGGCTCTGCCGCCTTTTCATGTAAGACATATCGACATTCAGTTGTTGCGTGTATTGACGAGACCAAGGNCAGCTGGCATTGATTTTTTGGGCTTCTCGATCTTCCGAGGAACGAAACTCATATTCGGGCCTCCAGATGAAATCCCGACCCTCGAGATTGTACAGCTCATGCTTGAGCAAAATTTGGCGGATGCTGCCGTGATGGCTCCAATAATCCTCGAAGAACTGGCCGAGTCGCCCTCAGCACTAGAGAGATTATCCTCCTGGAGCAGTGTGTCATATGGTGGCGGACCACTATCTGCCAAATCAGGAAACACACTCTCGAAGTACACCAACGTCTACAACCTACTTGGATCTACCGAAACAGCCAACTTGCCTGAACTCACGCCAGCCGACCCTGAAGACTGGCAATATCATGAGTTTCACCCGGGAATTGGCCTTGACTTCAGACATCACTCTGGAAATCTGTACGAGCTGGTCTTCGTGCGTCAGCCTGAGGACGGACTCTACTTTGCTCCCTTCACCACCTTCGAATCAATGCTTGAGTATTCAATGAAAGACCTCTACGCACCTCACCCAACCAAGCAAGGTTTATGGCTGTATCAAGGCAGAGCAGATGATATCGTGGTGTTGTCCAACGGCGAGAAGTTCAACCCAATTGAGGCCGAACAGATCATATCATCGCATCCCGAAGTCAAGGCTGCAATCATTGTCGGCTCTTCTAAAGAACAGCCTGCCGTCTTGATTGAGCCCACGCCGAGACTCACTGATTTCAGCGAACGGGACGAAACAGACTCTGTCTGGGACCTTGTTTCGAAAGCTAATGAAGTCTTACCTGGCCATGCAAAGGTTGACCGAGCTCATATAAAGATTCTGGAAGACTCAGAGGCTTTCTTGAGAGGCACTAAGGGTACCGTGCAAAGACGACCAACTACTCAGAAGCTTCAAGATGATATCGAAAAGGTGTATCGAGACGCAGATTCATGCCTGCTTACACAAGATCTAGACTTTGGCAGTATGGATGCGCTTCGTACAAGTATCGCCAAAGCTTTAACCGAAGTTGGATTACGAGATTCTGAGCACATACGGGAAGACGAGAGTCTGTTTGCCTATGGTCTTGACTCTCTGCAGACCCTCAGACTCTCGAAAGCCTTCCAGTCGAGTTTGGACAATGGCACCAACAGTTCGGTATTAAAGACCATGATCTACAATAATCCAACTATTGAGAAAATCGCTCAAGCTCTCACAAAGCTCAAGAATGGAGAAGATATGCAAGGCCAACGATCGGAGCATGCGCAGGCTGAGATGAAGAGGATTCTCGACGAATCTCTAGACTCTCTTCAAACAATCAACGCATCCGCCAGAGATTCACCGGCTTCACCGCAAAGCATACATGTCTTACTGACAGGTTCAACTGGTGGCTTAGGTAGTTACATCCTGAATGTGTTACTGACCAACCCAAACATCACTGTGACCTGCCTCAACCGAGCAGGCTCCGATTCTCAGAAACAAAAGAGGATTAACGCAGGGAAGGGTCTCAGCACCGATTTTTCACGGGTTGATTTCAAGCAGGTTGACCTCAACAAGGCCTGTTTCGGACTAGATGAAGAATCATATAAGAGTTTGAGAGAGCGAGCCACGCATATCATCCACAATGCTTGGACTGTCAACTTCAACCTCTCCATCACTACATTCGAAGACCAGATCCGGGGTTGCCGAAACCTGGTTGCTTTCTCGATACAAAGCGCTCACAGACCGCATATTCAATTCATCTCCAGCGTTGGAGCCGCCAACCGGTGGTCTGACAAGACTGAAAAGACTGTACCAGAGAGAATGCTCGAAAATATGTCATTCTCCGAGGATATGGGATATGCTCAGTCAAAGCAAGTGTCTGAATTGCTCTTGTACCACGTAAGCAAGAGATATCAAGTGCCGTCTACGATCTGCCGTGTCGGGCAAATCACCGGACCGGTGCAGCTTCAGCAAGGTCGATGGAACGACGCTGAGTGGTTCCCAAGCCTCATCAAGACATCCATGCACCTAGGCAAACTTCCTGCCAGCCTTGGATCAATGGGTCGCATGGATTGGATACCTGTCGACATCCTGGCAAATACGGTTGTGGAAATCATGCTAGCTGGTTCCACTACAACAGGCAGTGATTCTCCAAAGGCTTCCGACGCAAGAACTTCTCAGTTCGTACATCTCCTCAATCCTCACGAAGCCAAATGGGAAGACATCTTACCGCACGTACAGAAATCGCTCGACAAGGAACTACAAGTCGTGCCCTACGAGGAATGGCTTTCTGATCTACAAGCTTCCGCAGAACGAGAACATGACGAAGCAAACCCTGCTGTCAAGTTACTTGACTTCTATGAAGAGAACAAACACGCCCTGAACCCGCAATTCTCGACAGCTAATGCCCAAGAGATGAGTCAGACACTGGCAAGTCTACAACCTGTCAGTGGTGAGTGGATGGAGTTGTGGATGAAGCAATGGAATTTCAGTGGTGCTAGAAAGACACTCCATAGGCTTTGATAGTTTGCTGCAATTGTTCTTCTCTGTCTGGGAAGAGTGTTTTTGTTAGACAAGGCATGGAAGATGTCATTTGCTTGTTGTTTAAGCAATGAGGAAGTTGATCATGTGCTCATTTCTTGTCAATCAGCGAACAATATATCAGAAGATTGAATATAATCGTAATGCATTGCTCTACAGGAGCTAATCTACTCCTATCTCGAACAACACCAGAACCTACCTCCTTAACAAATTCAGATATCTTTCAGAACCGTTTAGTACAATGCTTCAAACAAGATGTACAAATAAGAATTGGTTTGATGGTGTATATCACTTAGAGCTGATAATAACAAACATCAATCTGACATGGAGGGATTCAATCTCAGTTCGCCATCAGGAAACATATTAATCATCATTGCAGAGGGAAGGTGGTGCGTAGAGAGTGGAAGACCAAAAGAAGACAGGGATATGCGTAAAATCTGTGTGCAAGCATAATCTGCTAGGTTGGACAGACCAAAAGATTGAATACCTCTTCTGGGAAGACAAGATGCAATCCTGTGATTCTAGAGTCGATTCGCTCGACGGAAGTTGCCATACTGAACATGTGAGAAAGGGGGAATAAAGGAGATAAAAGCTCTGAGAACCAAAATTTGCCATCTTCAAATGTTCTAACAAAAATGGGTCTAAAAGACACGTCGTCACCGGTAATAATGTTAGCGCGTCCAGTGCGGAAATGTGTGAGTACCAGATCCGCGACCTGAGACGTCGGTCGAATCATCTTCCCATTGCTTGGCAAGAAGTCCTACTAAACCTTACAAGCATTGCGGCTCTTATCATTAGAAGCAGCTCAGAACTAGGGAAAGACTTGGTGGCTACTATAACGATAGCCCAATCTTTGCGAGGGATAACTCCATACTACGCCGTCCATTCTAGCCCCTGTATATAGTGCAATTTTAATTCTTCATTGTCCCGGACCTAAGAAGTGTCAAGTCATGCTTGTGTTGTTGCATAGATGTGTCGGAATAGAACAACAAATACAGTTAACGCGTGTTTCAATATGCTTGGTCATGATGCGCCTGCATGGCTTACGTATGGTGTCTGAGAACATTTACTAGAGTCAGAGTAACCACCGTATGGATCGCGATCCAGGTCCAGTGGATCGATCCACCGGATCTTCACTGGACCGGATCCGACCCTCAATCCAGTCCAGTCCAGTAGACAACTATTCAGTCCAGTCCGATCCAGTGGACCATTACTGGATCTGGATCGATCCAGTTCAGCTGTATAGAGGGTCTTGGCGCTGCTCAAGGTGGGGGTTGTAGGCGGAGGTGGTGTCGAGGTCAGCGGTATATAAGTCAACTTACCCAACTTCTTGAAGCGTACTATGGACTAATTCGAAGGTGCCCTCGAACAGAGAGATAATGCCACTCTTGATCCGACTTTTCACGTACTGCGTCTAACCTATTGCCTTTGCAGAGAGGTTACCTCGCAGTGGTGTAACCATAAAACCCGCGCTCGAGAAGACACGTTCCGGTTCGTCAGGCGTTGCAGGGATAGTAAAGAGGTCTCGAGCCAGCTGTCTGTTACTTTTACGTCTTTCGATTTGTTTCGCTACTCGAGCAGTTGTACGCCTGTAAGAAGTCTCAGGATCGAGTTGAACGTTTCCTCAATGACATCAATTACGCAAGCATACTCGAGCACTTCGTTTATCCTCGTGCCCTGATCTTCACACCTGATCGCCTATGTGACTGTGTACATGTCACACAGCCTAAATGTCTCATCGTCATAGTCTGAAGCGAGTCCTCGGCAGTCGCCCGAGAAGGTTACATAGCTAACATAACCTTGGTCCCCTAGTGGCTTGCATAGACTCGGATCTTGGTGCCCTGGAACGTTAAACATCATATCGAGATTTCTCTTCGATGCATCGCCGAAGGTCTGACGTATAATGTTTCGCCTAGGCGCGAGAAGTTGGGTTGACATATGTAGTCGAAGCCGAGCTTTATCGATGGCGTCGCGAGTGGCATGGACCACGCTCGCTTTCGAGGCGTTATGGCGTGTTCAAACTAGGGTGAAACTCCAGGATCACTACCGCCATCCCGAGACCGCCACGCGCTCGATATTAGGCATATGCATCCCAGACTTCTTCACTCGAATTTAGCCTTTACTACCACTGGTCTAGGTTTTGCATGTTGTTCACTGGATTTTGGTTGCCGGAGTTGCAGGCGCTTACAATCTATGCCAAGGGTTATTTAGACCAAGAACTGGATACAGAACAAAAAAGGAGACCGACATTACAGTTAAGTCCCGACTACTCTAGAGTACATACGTGTGTGCATTAGCCATCTACACAATCTACCCTACTTGCTTACGGGCCTGCGTTAGTAGTCCATGCCACATTCGAGACTATCATCGCGCAATGCATAAGGCGACTTACTAGCTTATATTATGACCTATCTAGAATCCACCGAGGGATAGTTACCTAGATATCGTTAGCTGGTGCCGTGCTATATACTAATAGGTTAGTGTCGCCCGGGTCCGATAGGCAACAAAAATAAATCTACCATTATGTCGGAAACTAATATAAACAGTGGTGCCGTCGTTGCTTCTTATAGAAACCTGCGCTCTAGAATAGATGGGTAATTTCGATTTAGGCCCTACTCCCTACCTATGTTCTCTTTCCTTTTCTCGAAACCTAGGGAGCTAGTATTAACTTAAATATCTTCGTTACAAATCTGGCATATTCTTAAGGTGTCTTTAGGTGTGATATACTTAATTCATGGTATTTTTAGCGACAACCTACTCTCCTTACATCGATGCTAGATCGTACAAAGAAAGCAGAACTATAGCCGTAGTTCGACCTTATCTATCTATACTAAATTTGTCTATAAGGATCGCTAGCGCTTTAGACTAGGCTTGTAGCCTAGCCTTCTAGGAAGATACTAGATCGTCCTAGCATCTCTAATGAGAGATCCGTGCTAGCCTAACATTGTTTTAAAGTAAGCAGGGTCTTTAGTAGAATCTTATAGGGTTCTACCTAGATCCTAGAACCGTTGCTTAGCGAGATCGAGCTTGCCGAGCTCTAGAAGGGATTTTACGTCCGCGACTTAAAGTCTAGAAGAATCATGATAATGCTATGGCCATTTAGAGTTAAGCATCTAAACCGCTTAGGGGTTAGTCTTAACGTAAATGTCCGCTAGCTCTTACAATGTTTCTAGTCGTAAGCTAGAGAACATCTAATTCTCGTTAGTTACTTTAAGAGACATGCGCGACTTCTCCTTATAACCTTTAAAGTCGCCTATATATCGACGAATCCTGCATTCTATTATCCACATGCGTAAACAAATCATGATTTCGAAAGGCGACTATGCTAGGGTTTGTCCTTAGAAGGTTTAGAGGCACTTTATCGCGCTTTTATAATTATCTAGATGTATAAATCTTTCTACCTTATAAATGGCAAGTAGGCTAGATTATGCACGTTTATAAGCGGAAGCCGTAGTTAGATTGTTATTAAGAAGATCTTAGCAATCTCTTAAAGCCTTACTACTTCTATCGAATTCTCCTCCTAGCCGGTAGACTTTAACCTTATGTAGCGCTAACATAGTAGATAAATATGTTATTAGCGCCTCGTCTTTTACGATACTGTTAGCTTTTTTAAGCATACGTTTCTTCTAAGTCATGTTGTTATAGATAGAGCTAGCGTAAAGTAGACGTACGTAAACATCTAATGCGTCTCTTAGCTAGCCTACTAATAAGTAAAGAAGAATCATAGCTTCGAGATGTGGTAGTAGATCTCTTTTAATAAGTCTAGTAGAGAGCGGCCTATATGGTATTAGAATACGGGTCGCCTAGAATAGCTAAGGTATCTTACCTTAAGGAGATAGCATCGTTCTTATAGAAAAGGCGTTTAATAAACAGTATAGCCTATTTCCTCTAATACTAAAGCTTACCTTACTCTATTAACAATTTCTCCTATTTAATAACCGTCTTAGGAAAGACGGATATAGTACGGTCTTTAGTTAAATCCTAGTGCACATGCTTAGTCTTAACAAGGCTTAATATTGCCTAGTCTAGCTTTACGGAGTCTATAAGTATAGCATGTAGGTTCTTATCCATTCTATCTATAGTAGGGCTATAAATAGAGGCTTAGCCATATTCGTTCTAACGCCTTATAGGGGATAATCCGGCCTCTAGTAGATAGAGTGACACTTTACTATAGTATAAGCACACTAAAAACGGTAGTAGATAAGAGACTAGCGAAGATATGGAAGAGTCTTTTTAGCGTTAATTTTAGGGATCCGGACCATCTAGGAACCCTAGTCGCATTTAGGTGCTATATAGAGGACTAAAGACGGTAGTCGTAAAAAAGGCAAAGCCTTAACGATTAAGTTCGTTTTAGGGTAAACGACTAGTATAAATTAGAGCTCTAATTAACACGGTTAGCATTAGTAGGCATGCTATAACGTCTAAGGGAAGGACAGTTAGAATTACTTTCTTTATACTTACTAGTAGTTACTCCGCCACTAATTAGTATAGGTCTAAGTAATCTTAGAATGTTTAATCTGTTTAAAGCCTATTAACGGTCTCTTATATCTTATCGGCGCTAAGCTTAGTTAAGCTAGAGTGGGTCTTAGTTAGTTCCTACTACAATGTAGTTAAAAGATTACTACCTTAAAAACGGGACTAATAATAGGATGCTATTGTTACTAGCTATTTTAGACATTATATGCGCTACGTGTCTAACGGCCCTTAATTACTTAACGTCTTACTTAAAATTCATATTCCTAAACAAGCGGTAGAATAGCAATGCTAATAACAGCTTAAGCATCCGATAATGCGCACTTACTTAGGTAAGACATCCGAAGGTAAAGATAATGCTAGCTGCCCTATTATAGTTGTCCGAGGCGTAATGGTGCTAGATCTTACTACTTACGTCGATCTGTTTAACGTTTATAAAAGTGTTTAGATCTTCGAACTACCGTCCTACTTCGCGTTTAAGTAGCGGTATGTTATGGCCAACTATTCTA